CGGGAAATCATGCGCGCGCGATTCGCGTAACGGTATCGATTAACGTTCTTCAATAAGAGTAACACGACGGTGTAGTCGCTGCCAGCTGCAGCAACCTCGCCGAGCTTCCTCGAAGAAATTGCCGGCGGATAGCGAGCCACGTTGCTCATAAGTCCTCGTTAAACTCTCGCTGGGATATCTCGTTTTCCTCTGTTTCTTTCTTTTGCCTAGCCTGGCGGAACGACATCTTCAATTTTCACCACCGCTCCTCCCCGCCCGCGTTTCGACGCGCTTCGAAAGGAACTGCGCTCGCCCGAGACAAGAAAACTTTTCGGCTAATGAGAAACGAACCGTGTTCTAGCGCCCGCGTCCGCGCGCTGCATTACCTGCAGCAAATTAACCGTGGAAAACTCGAATTTTCATCTTGTGTAAATTCGTTGCAGGATTAAGAAGATTAAGTTCTAATAGCTAACCAGACGGGAGACAGTGAAAAATATCCGCGCACGCAATCACTTAAACGTTTATATCACCTGGTAAAAGTATATTACACGGCGGATACTCGCTTAAGTTAATATTAACGTTAACATTATACCGAGCGAACACAATTCTGGACTTTGTAATATGGAAATTAATTCACCGCAATCCTATAACATTATCATAAAAGTGTAAAACGACTTGAATAATATCGCGAGCTGTGTGTGTGCGCGCGCGCGCGTGTGTGTTTGTGTTTTTAAGATTTTCCGTCTGGGAAATAACGACAGCAGACGTGTACATGTACGCGGCGCAATTTACAGAAAATCAAACAGAGCAGCGGAAACGCAGTCCTCGGCTGTTTGGTAATGTGATAATTAAGCAAAATCTTCGCAAGCAAATTTTCCAGTCGCTGGAGGAGCAGCTTATTAAACCGAACACATTTCGCCATTTGCATATTTAAATTTCCATTTCCGCGCGGAGCTTCGCCCGGGCGAAGAGCTCGGGGTCGGGCGGGAAAACCGCGAAAAGCGACCTTTTATCTCATTTCGCGTCTCTTATCGCCGCGGCATTGATCTCCTCGGTCGCGTTGCGCGCACCGTCTCGGTGCGAACCGTTTCTCCGTTTATTCGCGAGAAACTGTCTCTATATATATTAGAATTATCGCTATTGAACCATGTTTTCATATATACATATATATATATATATATTAGAATCAACGCGCTATTTGTTGAGCACGGTTATAACGGGATATATTTGTTTTTTAATATAAAAAGTTTATTCGGAAACATGTGCAGTCTGGTTCGTTATTTTGTTGTGTGTGAAAAAAATTATTTCGAAACGTTATCTAATGCTGAAACTTGATCATGTATAAAATTTATATAAACGCGCGTTCGTTATATAAAAAAAAAATAAATAAATATTTATTTCAAGAGAGAGTTTACAAAAATTATACTTTTTTCTGATAATTTGGCTCTGAATATTACTTTGACTCTGATCAAATAATTATCTTCAATTATTTATTCGATTCTAATGTCGCGTATACAAAAACAGCCTTGGCAAACAGTTCACGGACTATTTTCTATGTCAATCGCGACTAGTTTTGCTGACTTATATTTTTGCGAAAAGATTAACATAGTTTTTTTTTAAATGGTTTGTAAATTAGCTGTGTGTTACATCGGCTGTAAAAGTAATTAAACAAGATTTGTTGCGGGAGATAGTCCCTCTTCTTGCTAATCGGTCAGCCGCGAGCTACTGAAGGTCGCTTAATTGAGCATTCAAAAAACAATATGTACCTTGCCCGGAGATAACGACCATTTTAAATAATTGGTCCACCGCGCGGTAATTACACCCAGTCACCCCTCGGGTGTTTAAATTATTAATTAATAATCGGCACGCGCGCGCGGCGCATACCTACCTTTGTTAACTGACGCGATCGTAATCGCCAATTATTTCGACTCTTTGACCGCTAATTTGATAAAACGCGACAGTAGTTCGTTTTTAACCGTTTTAAATTGTCGGAAATACATATGTATATACTCTTTCCACTCGCCGCGCCGATAAAACCGTGCCTACAAAACGTTTGTGCGCAAACGATAAAAGCGATATTTACGTCACGTTTTGCACAAAAGCATCCGCGTTAATCGTTTGTAGAAGGAAACTATTTGACAAGAAAATTATACACACAGACGCAAAAATTGGAAAACATGCGAACACGCATTCTACACATACGTGTACATCGGCATCACTCGGATTGTTATTCTTTGTAACTCGTTAATTAAACGTACCTTTGTTTCAGCACACTTTTCCTCTCTTTGATCAATTTATCAGCGTTCTATCCAATTTAACATTAAAGCAATAATAAAACGATGGTTTGCGCGTTTTTAACACAAGACACACAAAGTGCTTTACTTAAAACCTTGACGTTCTTTCATCCTTCGAATAAAACTTTTATAAAGTTCAGGAACGTTAACATCTCGCATTCGCAATTAATTAATATCAAAGCGATATCGCCCGGACAATTCTCATGATTCTAAATCAGGGACACCTGTTTCCGTATAAGCGTGCGAGCGGCGAGCGCGCGCGACGCCGTGCTGCAGCACGCAGCACTTGCGAGAACCGATGTGGTGACATCTTTATCCAAAGCTCGGTTAGTTACGCGAGAGCGCGACTCGCGACACGTCAGTAACAACAGGCACCCACGAAGTTTGCCCACCTGTCCTGATAATGTCGGTTAATATCATGTAAATTGTAATTAATATTCATGGGGTTAATTCGCCGCCGCGCGGTCGTCTACCGTCGCCGCCGGTACGAAGTTTTAGAGGAAATTTACGGTCACCGCGAAACATATTTCGGATCCCAACCAGACCCCCTCGGTACGTATCTAGCTGCTGTACGGTCTCTTGCACAAATAAATCACGCCAATCTGCGACGGATCGCAGCATCGGAATCTTCTCTCGATCGATGCGCTCGCTCTAATTTGCATAATTAGAAGAATTCATATACTCACATGTGCCATTATTATAAATTATAAAAAATGACGATATAAGTACACCGAGAATAAGAACAAATTTAAATATAACACATTTGGAATGAAAAAACTTGTTTGAATATTTAATTATTTTTCAAATATTTAATTTGTAATTTTTTCTGCGCAAACACACGAAATTATTACTTTCCTCTGTTAAAATATACTATATTGAAGTTAGTCATACACATACATACGAGAAAACATAATATGAGGAGAATACACATAGATGAGAAAGAAACGTCTCTGTCTTTCTCTCTCCTTTATCCCAGAATTCCCGCGTGACGTAAGACCCGCAATGTGTATTAATTTCCGAGCATTTTCCGATGATTAAATTTCCGAACTATGCGGTTGCAATAGTTCTCTCGCTCTTTTGGTCTCTCTCTCTCTCTCTCTCTCTCTCTTTTCACCGTACTGTTACGGTCAACTCGCGCCAACAAATTAGGCACAGTGCAATTAATTAAACAACGCGTAACACGTAGCACTTGGCGCGGTCGGGCGAGAGAGGACGTGCGCGCGCGCGCGCGGACGCTCGCCGTGAAATTGCATTTGCGACGTAGACGGAAAATAATTTGCAACGTTAACAAGAATTCGGAATAGCGAGTCATTAGCATAGCTTGGGCGCGCACGCACACACGCACACACGTGTGCGGCCGTATACTACACGACTACGTAACACATTATCGCGGGAAAGGTTGTTCTTCTTCGTTCAAGGAAAATGTTTACATATAATAGCGGCGGCGTTTAACTTGCCGCCGTAATTAAAATAACGATGCGATGCAAATTACATGCGTGCGTGTGTGTATGTATGTACGAGAAAGGAGGGCGCATGTTACGTTATAATATTACTCCAGAGAATGCTCTTCGCGAGCAATAATGCCATTGCGCATTTTCCCCAGGGCGACGGAGAAGCGCGCTTCCGGAATGAAAACGATTTTTTTTTTTTTTTTCTATAAAAGGCCGATTTTAATCTCCTTCTGAATCGCGCCGAACCTACGGGGCTTGCGCGCGGAGAGTTGATACAACAAAACGCAAGAATATAAAGAAAAGCAATTTCCGATCGCGCGCATATGATATCGACGCGTGTGTATAAGAGGAACTTTATTAATAGGTACGTACGTTCAACATGTATGCGCGAGGTTTCTGTATAGATGAAATACCGTGTCTCTCCGTGTGAAAATAAATGCGGGATAAAATTTCTCTCGTTGCCTTCCCGTATAAATATCTCGTTTAGCGGTTTAAAAATATAATTGCAACAATATAAATAGCGCAACAGCTGTTGCTTCTCTACATCCGCGAAACATCGCATCTCTCGATTGTCTGTACGCGCGTTCTCGCAAGATAACGTGCGCGCGCTTAGACCTTAGAATCGCATTTATAACGTACGCGGGGTTACAGGTTTCTTTTGCGATTCATTTCCGAGCACGCGGTGCTCGGTCGATTCTCTTCCTCTCGAGAATGTCCGTCGGATCACGAAGGACATGTCGCCGCGCGATCTGTCGTTACGACTCCGCCACTCGCAATAAAAGAAAATGGGACATTTACGACCGTGCGATTCTCCGACGCATTACCGCGGCCTATATATATACATCCGATCGGCAAAAATGCCGCCGACTGTTACCCCCCACGTGTCCCGGGAGACCCGAGGATATCCCTCTTACATCGGCTATAACGTCGATCCTCCTCGGTGATGTTTCGTTACGTATAAATGCGCGTTCGTTTTTACGCGCTCTTCACTTTGCGTAAATTTCGCGTTTCCGCCAATGTCACGCCGCGACGAGGGAAAGATCGCGCGAGCGGTCATAAATCGCATTCTTGTGGAAGTATTTTCCCAAGTGGTTAGGTCTGTATGTAAAACATTGGTAGTAAAAAATTTTAATATCGATATTCATTTAAAAGCTCGAAATGTCACTGATGTCAATATAAACTCCGTTTCCGGAACAAACACGCGTGAGAAGCAGTATGTATCAATTTAACTTGAGCAATTTGGAGCAAACGAAGTTTCCAAAGTTTTATAACTCACCACTGATCACGTGGATCGGGCAAGGACCTGTGCACGGAGATGAGATCGCTGGCATACTGATTAAACGCGTTATTGAGCCAGCCATCGTCCACCAGCTTCTTGGTCTGCGCGGACATGTTGGTCGGCAGTATCACGGGTCTGCCCATCTCGCCGGGTGCCGCTGCGTCCGGTTCACGTGGTACAGCCAGAACTCCAGCTAAGGGATCTAAGAGCCATCAGAGAGATCACAAATGTGAGCGACGTCGTCAAATGCGAGGATTAGGGTAAATTTGCAAGTTGATTACGTTGGGAGATTACGTTGTACGACGCGTTATCATCGCGATTTATTCGAATCGTCGAACGGAATCGAGATTTCGATCGACGAATCGTAAAAATTCGATATTGTTTGTAATTTTTTTATTATATAGTTGTAAAACCATTTTGCGATCTCGCGCGTTTTTATTACAGAAGTTGTGCTAATTGTTCAAGACGCGATATACAGGGTGTCCCAGAATTGGTTTAACATCGCTCGTAGGCAGGTAGAAGGAATAAAACTGAGGTGAAAAGTCCTATACCATTTTGCTAGATTCGCAATAGTTACTGAGATTTTAATTAACAAAGATCCGCGAATAAGCATGCATC